AATTCTAGAGGAATGAATTTTCCTCCTAGTTAGTTTTTCGTTGAGCATCTCCATATGAAATTAAAGCACAAAAACCACTTGCATCCTCTTTGTTAAGAAATACTACATTTTGAAATCAGCTGATGTTTGCAGACTCCAAACTTCCTTTGCCTATACATTATTTCTTGTGACTATGCCATCTTCAAATAAATCCTTACAGCTCTGAAATGAGAAAAAAAAAATTATATAAGTTAAAAACTTTTCAGTGATAATAATCAATCAATTTTATTTCCAAATGAAAGTTATTTTCTCTGCTCAATTTGAAAGCTACTGAATAAAAAATAAATACTAAAAACAATTAGAAATGCATTATCCACACTTAAGCAAAACTGGAACAATAAAAAGAATGAGAAAAAAATTAACTTACAAAGCACTAGAACTATGACAGGAAGAGCACATTCACAGCCATCATGACGCATGCTGCAGCCACCCACGGGCTTTTCCTCTCCCCTATTCTTGCCATCTTCCAAAAGGTCCCGACCAGGCTGTTGGTGAAAGAGAAGATCAATATTAGAGATTTGGTGAAGAGGAATGTATATTTTTAATTTTGGATTGGACAAGCTTTATTTATTTACTTATTTATTCATTTTATTATTATTATTATTATTATTATTATTATTATTATTATTATTATTTTATGTGTTCTTCAAGACAAGAATATGAACTCACATAACCCTCTTGTACAATTTATCATATCTTCTCTACATCCGATAAACAAGAGCTTCCCTTATACAATATGTATTTGTGTAGTTTGAAATTTACTTCTTTACAATCATTATAGGACAAATCCTGACACTGAAGGAGAATAAGACTCAAGGTAACTTTCAATTTAACACACTTTGGAGGTATGTATATTTGTATACATCTGAGGAGGATGTGTGTATATATATATAGTCAGAATGCGTCAATATACAAAGTATATAGACTACACCTGTATATGATTAAAAAATATGAGTGCTTAAAGTAGAAGCTAACTTGTATAACACCAACACAGAAGTCTCCGGAGTGAGTGACAGAAATTTCTCACACCAGCATTGTAGGGTTAAAGTGTTTCTACAAAACTGTAAATAAACAATCATAACTTACCCGGTCTTCTGTCTGTCAAGTAATGAAGGGGCAAAGGATCTTATATATGCACAGGTACAGATCATCAACAGCAACACACTCAGGAGACTTTGGAAGTTGAACAATGCAGACTGAAAAGGAGTAAAAAAAAAATTTGAATTTTGAAACAAGGATGAGGAGTATACAGTTGATATTCTGATAACAGGAAACTGACAAAAGGAATATGTTAATGAAGCATAAATTACACAAAAATGATTGATAAACACATAGACAACCACACACATGCATGCAATGAACCCACAGTCAAAAAAAAGTTTGCGAGAAAACTGTGAAATGTTCAGAATTCTCTACCTCATTAAGCTAGTTATGGGGAGATTTCTAGAATAAAAGTAACTACAGGAATCTACCCATTTACATTATCTATGAGCCACAGTATAATAAAATATTTCATCAACCTCTACAATTATTATTTTTTTTTTTAATAATAACAAATGACAGCAATAAGCACCAAAAATGCCAGTCCTGATGGACAAAATATGGCCACTGAAGTTCTCTGGTATGTGTGCCAATAAGATGCAAAACCTAGACCCCCCCCCCAAAAAAAAAAAAATAATAAATAAAAAAAAAAATAAATAAATAAAATAAAATAATGAACCCATATTATACCTATTAAAAACCATGTATAAAAATTACCTGCATAAGGTAAGGTAAGGCCACAAAAAATGTTTCATGGTCTGGCAAAGGCAAACAATTCCTCACTATGCCTATTCTGGGAAGATGGAGCTTGCTGAGCTTTATTGTGATTTACTATGAAATAAAGAACCAGTCTAAACTCTATTTTGTCAGCTGTATGCGGTGGGGAATCTTACTGCCTTTCACCAGAGGACAAACCAACAACAATGACCTACTCATTTGATATCAAAATATGGTGTTAGTAATATTAAACCTTTTATATGCAATTCTGCCAACAGAACCCTTGTTTTACCTAATGCAATTCTAACATTTTCTTTAAATATGGGATTGGACTTGTGTCATGACTTCCCTTCTTAGGATTAGAATGGTGGCTTTCTTAACCTCTTATAGCCAGGCACACCTTAGCTGTCATGAAAAACCAACTCATAACTCGTACGGCTATAGGCACTAAAGCAAGTCGACTGAGTGACCCAGAAATTTCTAGCAGCACTGTAGAGTTAAACTGTTTTTATTTGGAAGGTGAAGACTGTTACCCTGAGTGGATGCCTTACATTAATCTAACTTAACTATCACAATACATAAAGGCTTGAAAGAAATGTTGTAAATACAGTAAAATATAGCATTTCTTTCAGAAACTAATAATATGGGTAGTAGAGAGGATATAAAACTAAAAAATTTCAGGTTTCCATATCACATACTCTTCCAGCAGTGAGAAAAAATGACGGTAAAGTGAGGAAGCGATGAAACAATTGGATGGAATTAAAGCAGATGATGTAAGCAAGGGAAATCAAGTGAAGCAATGAGAATTGTACATGATTGACAATAGACACAAGTGACCAGTCTATTAGAGCCAATAAGATTTGTAACAGATAATCATGTGACGATAGAAGCTAGATCCTAAGGGAAGTCAGTTGAATCTTAAATCAGTTCCATCATGTCTAGACAGTGTATAAGATTTTGTCACCTTTAACATGTAAAATATAATGGCAATAATGAAAAAGAGCTGCCGATAGTGGTTACAATTCACACTAGCAATGATGATGAGGATTCTGACATTTCACCGGTTGGCCATTACAGATTTATTGGTCAAGGTAAGAATTATGCGAGATCAAGATATTACCCTGGGGTCTAATGTGGTGGAATATATGAGGTAACGATTTTGCAGACCAGGTGAGGGGTAGAGGGGGCAGCAGCATCTTCTAAAGGGTGATTAGGGGGTAAGCCCCTTATTTACAATGAATGTTTTGCAATTACTAAATTAATGAAAGTTTTACTTTGATCATTCACTTTTACCCTTCAAATTCCCTGATACTTATTATGCCCTCCCCAGCTATTCCTGGAAAATGTGTGGTGCGCATGCAATATATCATTGCACATGCAGCTGGCTGGGCGCTTTCTATTTTCACAGTGCAGTTCCCCCTTTCTTATTTGTTGGCTGTATTAAGTTGTCAAAGTGCTTCTTTACCATGCAGCATAGATCACTTCACAAACTGAAAAATCTAAAAGACTTATCAATTAAACTGAATTATACTAGATTGTACCATCAAAGACAAACCATTTTAATAGCATAGAAATGATGTACAAATAATGTATCATCCATCATAAATGTTACATAATGTAAAACAATAATCATGCAACAACAAACGACGCATTTTTGGACAAACTGAAAATTTAACTGCACAAGCTACAACGTCTGAAAATAACTCGCCCATGCACATAAGCAGGTTTCCAGGTATTGGGGCTGATATCATTGCGGTACTTCGTTTGCGATGGAAATGAGAGCTTGATTTGATCGAAAAATGACAAGATCTTTCAGAAAAGAATAGTTTTCACTCGAAAATCGGTAAGGTATCCTTTCCAAATTTATCAAGCTTCAATCCCTGAAAGTTCCTGGGATAGTTGAAAGCCAAGTTTGCTCAGCGTATCATGTGAACCCAAAATTCAAACCTAACTTTTCCTACCTTCTATTTATTCCCTAGACAAGAGGGGAAGTCCCCCTGTACCCCTCCTTTATTGGCACTACATACCAACTTACACAAAATGCAACATTATGAACTGTGGCTGTGTGAAGGTGTTGAGTTGTGATATTGTCATGAAATTGTGATAAATATGAAGATGGAGCAACTGTTCCGGTGTTTCAATGTTCTATAAAATGGCAGGATCTATTTCCCTTTCTCTTTGCGCGTCGTAACATTAACCGGAGTGAGAAATAATGCCGGTCAAATAGTGTTTTCAATTAAAAAAACACGTATTGTTCAACAAAATGAAAGTGTATGGCTGACAGCTAAAAAAACGTTTCAAAATCATACAAACTTGTTGTTCTCTGATGCTTACTTAATAATGTTATAAGAACAGGGACTGAGTATCTTACGTAATTCCTTGGTAAATATAAAGAGAAGTTCCTGGACTAAAATTCTTGGCCACCTCATTTTCTCGTAATATCTCATTACTACAAGACACCATGTTACCACATTCTATTTTTGAAAACTTACCATGTCGTATCAGTTGTCAAACAACCGTAGAAATGTCCAATAAATGGGTTTTCCAGCCCAAAATAAATGCTTAAAGGATGACAGGCCACAAGTTACAGGTGTGAGCGATTTCTTGTGACGACTGTGATGACAACAACACTCTGCGATTCGGATAAAACCTACTGTACGATTATATTATAATTTTTATTTATCTTATTTTGTTGTGAATTATTTATCATTAGTTTATATTATGGTGTTATAATTTTGGTTCTTAATTAGATTTGTGAGACTTTAGATGTTGTGATCTTTATAACGCAATCGCATGTATTGTTTATCAGTTTTATCTAAAAAATTGTCAGGTTGCACTTTAGAATTTAATAGAGAGAAATGTGAAAATATTGTATGGCTAGATTGTCGTAAAAACACATTCCAGAAATATATCAAGTCCTCCAGAAATTTCGTTTAATAATCCGTATACCGTTTAGCGTAAAACTGTTGCCATTAAGGAAAATAGTAACGTATAAGAAATAGCTTTTACAATTCCAAAAAACTCATTCCCAGCTATCTTAAATACTCAGAGATATCGATACCTAAACGAACCCAAAATAAAGCAAAGAAATGTGAATATGCTAAAGCTGCAATAAAGCTGACGATACAATTTATAAAAGGTCCCCTAAGACGAGGGCGTTGGCAACAGTGTCGTTCCAGTCGTGTGCAGAGGAAGCCGCTGAACTTCACTCAGTCTCGTTTGAGTCCTTGTCGAGTGTAGGTGTTGAACGTCCTTCCAGGATTCTCAAGTTCAGGCGAATAAGGATGGATTCCATCGAGGGGAACATCAAGCTACTCCTCCAAGGGAAAGAAATCGAGGAATCGCAAGAATTTTGTGACTTTACCCTCGACGACCAGAATGAGGTTACAGGTCAGTACCGAAAAAATGGTGCATACATCGTCTTAGAAGAAATATATATATATATATTTTTCTTTAAAATGCCTCAAAGATATCTCCGGAAACTGACTTTTGCGTATATTTCTTCTGTATTTTGGTATATAATGGGATGCTCGTGACAGATCGAAGGTTTCGGAGATAAATCTGTAGGCTGGAGATAAGCCTCTTGATTTTTTTTTCGTTTTTTAAAAATTCCTTTGATGATTTTAGTGGGTCTGGTTTGATAGTGATGATGGTGAGTGCGTTTCCTTGAGGTTTGTCTGTCACTGTCACTGATCATTGTTAATTATCGTGTCTGCAATTGCTTATCGCTATATATAGCATTATCGGTGTGACAGTCTTCAATAATACCCCCATTGCGGTTCCCATCACTATCAGTCGGGCATCATCATCATCATCATCATCTGATCATCATCATCTGAGCATCATCATCATCATCTGAGCATCATCATTTTCATTATCTGAGCAGCAGCATCACTACCACCACCAAGCATCATCACTATCGTCACCATCATCACTATCATCACACCATCATCATCACCATTACCACCACCAAACATCATCATCATTTTCATCGTCTTCTTCATTATCATCATCATCTTCATATAGATGATGATGATGATGATGATGATGATGATGATGATCATCATCATCATCATCATCATCATCATCATCATCATCATCATCATCATCATCATCATCATCATCATCATCATCATCATCATCATCATCTTCATCTTCATCTTCATCTTCATCATCGCTCTCCTCTTTCTCCTTATCATCATCATCATCATCATCATCATCATCATCATCATCATCATCATCATCATCATCATCATCATCATCATCATCACCACATTCACCACCATCACTGACCGTCGCCATCATAATCATTATAACTGCAATTATCATTACCGTAGTTACAGCCACCACACTCTTCACCACAATCACCACACAAAAAAAACTCAACCACATCTATGTCCCGTACATGTACATTTTTCCCCTCAGTTCAGTATTCGGTAAATATAGCCTAGGCCTATATCATCTCCCATTTAAATTTAAAAAAAGACTGCATAGGCCTACCTGACATTTTGGCCTTCGCTGTCCATGTCATGATGTCTGTATTGTAACGAATGCTGGCTATTGTGAATGCCATGGTGACGAATGATAGTGCTTGTGATCATGTTACCGCAGGCGCCGTAATTGCCATGCGGTTGCCATAATTGCAATGGCAAAGTCACTTGTCATTGCGTTTTTCTTTGTAGTGGGGAAATTAGTTAGAGATCATTAACAGTGAGTCTGTAATGCAGAACGAGGGGGGTGGGGGATGGGGAGAGAAAAAAAGGCAGAAAAGGGAAGGAGAGGGGAAGAATAAGAAGGGAGAGATAGGGAAAGAAGGAGTTGAGAAGGGAGAAAGAGGGAGGAGGGAGATGCGAAGAATAAGAAGGGAGAGAGAGGGATGAAGGAGTTGAGAAGGGAGAAAGAGGGAAGAGGGAGATGCGAAGGGAGAAAAAGGAGAGAGGGAGATAATAAGGGAGAAAGGGAGATACGAAGGGAGAAAATAGAGAGGGGGAGATACAAAGGGAGAAAATAGAGAGATGGAGATAAGAAGGGAGGAGGAGGGAAGAGGGAGATACGAAGATAGAAGGAGGGAAGGGGAAGATAAGAAGGGAGGAAGAGAAGAGGGAGATAAAAAGGGAGAAATATGGAAGAGGGAGATGAGAAGGGAGAAAGAGTGAAGAGGAAGATAAAGGAGAAAAGGAAGAGGGAGAATACAGGGTAATAGAAGGAGATAGGAATGGAAAGTGGGAGGGAGGGAGGGGAAAAAAGAAGAGAAAAGACAAAGAAAAGAGGGGGTGATGAAAAGAGAGAAAGGGTATTAAGGAAAGGAAGAGATGGGTAAGAAGGGAAGGAGAGGGAAAGGGGGAGAAAAGGTCGTGAGAAAAGGAAGGAGATATGGGTGATGGGCAGGAGGGACAGGGAAGAAGGAGAGAGAAAGGAAGGGGAAAGGAAAATAAGAAGGGAAGTGGGCAGGAGGTAGAGTAAAGAGAGAGGGCAGAGGGAGGGAGAAAGAGATAGAAAGAGAGAGAAAGAGAAGAGGAACAAAGAGTAAATAAAAGAGAGGGAAGGAGGAGGAGGAAAGGGGGGAGAAGGAAAGAAGGAGGGAGAGTTGAGGGAAGGAGAGAGATTGGGAAGACGAACAGAGAGGGAAAAGTAAGAAAAACAGAAGAGGGAGGGAAAGAAAGAAAAAAACAGAGAACAGAGAGACAGAAAGGGAAGAGGAAAGGTCCGAGAACAAAGTACACTGATAAAGCTCATGTTCAGGAGATGATTTCACAGGAAAACCGCCCTTCGTGCCCTCCATGTGCTCAGAGGCGGAGGGAAAAGGCATTTTAAGTGCCTCGTGCGGTCAATCCTGGCCGACAGCGTGGGTGGGAGGGAGTGGGGGGTGGGAGGGGGGGAAACTATTCACCGGAGAGACAAAGTGCGTGGCGTGAAGGCCTCCCAAAAAGCAGTAGGCCTACACTTAGAAAACTGAGGAGCGAAAGTTGTTCGAGAGAAGAAAAAAATATGTATATATTGATGAGATTTAGATGAGTTGGTATAAAAAAAGACTTGCTTTCTCGTCCATGAATTTGGTATTAGAAACGAACTTTTTTTTATGCGTGTCATGGTTGCCGAATTTAAGACACATGACTGGCACTTAGCCTGCTTCTAGGCCTATCAAAAAATGCACAAAATAGCTTTTAAAAATCAGAAGTAAAAGAATTAACAGAGATACACGAGTTTATACATGACTTATAAAAGTCCAAAATGTGTAATGAAAAGGGAAAAAAAAACTTTATGAATAAAGGAATGAATAAATAGATAAATAAATTAATAAACAAATAAATTAAGTAGTTAGATAGAGGAATAAATTGATAGATAAGTAAGAAAAAAAAGCGGCGTGATCTACTGCGTGTCGCTTGCGGTGAAGAAATATCCACTTACGGGTACAGGTAGAAACAAAAACGACGCAGGTAGAGATAAAGGGAGCGGCACAGGTAGAGAGATGAGGTAGATGCGTGAGAGAGAAAAAGAGAGATAGAGGCAGAGAAAAAGAGAGACTGAGACAGACAGACAGACAGAGACAGAGACAAAGGCAGACAGAGACAGACACAGAGACAGAGACAGAGACAAAGACAGAGAGAGAGAGAAAGAGAGAGAGAGATAGGCGGGGAGGGGATGGGGGGGAGGGGTCGACGGCGGTCAACATTCCTCTTGTGATGAAAGTGAATCGCTCGAAAAACCTTCCTTTTTGGCCATTCCTATCACGATTTATATTTTATTTTTATTTTTTTATTAAAAAAATATATGTGGTGGATTTTTTTTGTGTGTGGGACGGGGGTTGTCTGTTTCTTTCTCTCTCTCTCTTTCCCTTTCTCTTTCTCTTTCTCTTTCTCTTTCTCTTTCTCTTTCTCTCTCTCTCTCTCTCTCTCTCTCTCTCTCTCTCTCTCTCTCTCTCTCTCTCTCTCTCTCTCTCTCTCTCTCTCTCTCTCTCTCTCTCTCTCTCTCTCTCTCTCTCTCTCTCTCTCTCTCTCTCTCTCTCTCTCTCTCTCTCTTTCTCTCTCTCTCTCTCTCTCTCTCTTTCTTTCTCTTTCTCTTTCTCTTTCTCTTTCTCTTTTTCTCTCTCTTCCTTTCTCACTTTCTCTCTCTGTGTGTGCCCCTCCGTCTTCTTCTCTTCCTCCCACCTCTCTTTCTTTATCCCTCTCTTTCTCCTCCCCTCCCTTCCTTCTACCCATGCTCCCTCCCTCCCTCCTTCCCTTCTCCGCCGCGATGATGGAATATGTTTGTAGGTTGCTACATTGTTTATTTGTTGCAATTGTTCTACTACCGCGATGACAACTGCTACTGTCGCTGTTGCTTACACTCATCACCATCATCACCACCAATATCACCACCACCATTGTCATCATGATCATCATCACCACCACCGTCATCATGATCATCATCATCACCACCACCACCACCACCACCACCACCACCACCACCACCACCACCACCACCACCACCACCACCACCACCACCACCACCACCACCACCACCACCACCACCACCACCATCATCATCACCACCACCACCACCGTCATCATGATCATCATCATCATCACCACCACCACCACCACCACCATCATCATCATCACCATCATCACCACCACCACCACCATCATTATCACCATCCTCCTCCTCCTCCTCCTCCTCCTCATCATCATCATCATCATCATCATCCCCATTACAGTTGCCTGCTCCAGACAACAGACATTGCACAGGGACAACAAACATGACAATAACTCCAGTGATAACAATGATAATCATCAATCATTTTATCAGTTCGTAAACTGAACAGTTATTTTTATACCATTAATAATAATAAAATTGATGGTAATTATTGATATGTTTTTTTTTCATATTGCTGTCTTCACATTAATCTGAGCGAAGAAAATAAATTATTGTTTACGAGTAATTCATTGCGTTTCATTCAGATTTCGAATTATTTTCATTTCGTTCAGTATTTCGAATGGTTACGGATGGTCCACTACATTTAGTTCAGCATTTCTCTTGATTACGAATAATTTGCAAGATTTCACTCAGTATTTATTACGAATTATCCATTGCATTTCATCCAGATTACGAATAATTCACTGCATTCCATTCAGTATTTCCATTGATTACGAATAACCCATTGCAATGCAGTTAGTATTTCCTTTGATAATAATCCACTAAATCAGTTAGTGTTGATTACGAATTATAATAACCATTTCATTTCATTCAGCTTACGAACAATCTGCACTTCATTCAGTATTTTCCACTGACTACGAGTAACTTTCTACATTTCATTCAGTATTCCCATTGTTACGAATATACAGTCTGTTGTATTTCACTCATTCCACTGCATTTCGTTCAGTGTTTCCATCGGTTGCGAATGATCCACC